GGGGAAGGAGCTAAGACTGTATTTGAGTCTTGGAATTGAAATACGCAGAGAGCATTTAAGATCATCAAAGACAACCTCCAACATCATGTAAAAAATTACACAGACATATGGCCTATTAAAGTAAGGAGGTAAATTTTGCTTGGAGCACTAAAGTCAGAAAGGGAAGATCAGAAAATGTGTTTTGGCACGTGTGTGGAACTCACATAGTATATACTTCTGAATGTACTGGGAAACATTTCAAAACTTTTGGATATGAGGAGTCATATGTGTTATTCTATCATGTTTCATCATGTAATAGTTAATGGGATGTGTTGGAACAGAACATTTAGCTATGTCTAAAGCCTTATCAATGACAGTGATGGCTGAACTAGAATATAAAATACTTGCATCAAGAGAAGACAAAAAGGAGTCCATGATATCTTCAAATTTTGACATAAGAACAGTTGAAATATTGCCATATGCAACAACATGAATGGACTTTGAGAATATCATGCTAAGTGAAATAAGTCAGACAGAAAATATATGAACCATTGATTTCACTTATATGTGGGATATAAAATTGAAACCAACAAATGAACAAATAATAAGAAACAAAATCTCACAGACAAAGACCACACTGTGGTGGTTACCAGAGGGGAAGTAGGTGGGGCAGTAGCAGAGGGTAAATAGGGCCAAATACATGGCAGTGAAAAATGATTTGATTTTGGGTGATGGGCACACAATGCAATATACAGGTAATGTTTCATAGAATTAAATATTCAAAGCCTATATAATATAATTCACCTATATCACCCCATAAATATCATTTTTTAAAATATAAATTAAAAATTTTAGCATGTATAAAGTCCTACAGTGGAAGAACAGTTTGCCTGTAGAAAAAAGAAAAGGTCTGAAACTTTATTATAATACTAGAGGCCCAGTGCCAAAAAATTTGGGAATTTTGGGGGGGAGAGGGGCCTCAGCCCAGCCTACGCCCTCTCGCAGTCCAGGACCCATCGGGGGATGTCCACGTGCCAGCTTAGGCCTGATCCCTGGGGGGGGATCGGGCCTAAGCTGGCAGTCAGACATCCCTCTGGCAGCCCGGGATGTCCAACTTGGGTGCTGTCCTTGGGGGCTGTCCAACTTATGGCTTAGGCCCCGATAGGTCCTGATGGCCGGTAAGGCCTAGGGACCCTACTCATGTACAAATATCATGCACAGGGCCTCCAGTTTGTTTATAAAAAGAAATATTACTAATTGCTTTTATTTATTTCTTCTACTTTCAGATCCATGTGTATTATCAGAAAAAATCATGAAAGAAAAGAACATAGAGATAAATGGGAAATATGACAAATCCTATTTTATAAAATCAGGGACTAGTATTGACTTTAAGTGCAAATCGGGACGAAGCAACTATGTCATCACTTACACTTGTACCAAGACCATAATTCTTCACCGTCCTGGGATTAGACTACTTGCCAATAGAGCAATAAACAGCAAGGGAGGTAACGGTGTGGCTTTCTGCCTATTGAATCAGATGTATAACCGTCAAACAAAACACGTGAGCTTAGAATGTACTGTGGGAAATTATACAATAGAAATTTACACATTAAAAATGCCTTGTCTGAGCCTGTCCCGCTTGGCTCAGTGGTTGAGTGTCGACCTATGAACCAGGAGGTCACGGTTCGATTCCTGGTCAGGGCACATGCCCAGGTTGCAGGCTCAATCCCCAGTGGGGGGTGTGCAGGAGGCAGCCAATCAGTGATTCTCTCTCATCATTGATGTTTCTATCTCCCTGTCTTTCTCTCTGAAATCAAAAATGCCTTGTCTGGTGTGATTCCGTAATCAGAGCATTGACCTGAAGACAAGGGGCTCAATTCTTGGTCAAGAGCATGTACCTGTGTTGCAGGTTTGATCCCTGTCCCAGGTGGAGTGTGTGCAGAATGCAAGCAATCGATGTGTCTCTCACATCTCTCTCTCTCTCTCTCTCTCTCTCTCTCTCTCTCTCTCTCTCTCTCTCTCTCTCCTCTTTCTTCCCTCCTTTCCACTCTCTCTAAAAATCAATGGGAAAATATATCTTCGGGAGAGGATTAACAACTATGCCTACGTAGATAACATATGTTACAATAGTCAGTGAAAATAACCCCATTACTACATTCTCTTGCTGGAGTCACAGGTGAATTGTGGACTGAAGAAGACTTGTTGTGAGAAAGAAGGGCAGTTCTCATTGTTCCCACCTGTAGGGTTTGAACTGTTTGACAGAGTTGAAGCTTGGCTCTTCTATTTGACAAAAAATAATCAGTTATTTTAAAGTTGCAAATCTTAAAATGTTTACTGATCCTAAGTCAATATGGGAACTGAACTTCTGTTTTCTCTTAGCCTATTCTGAAAGCACATAAAAACAAACTAAAGTCCCACCCAATGGAAGCTCTGCTTGATAACTAGTCTCCAATTTGTATTTGAGCAGGTTATTGGCCAAACCAGTTCTCAGATTAGATTAGACTTTATGCTTCTCATTTGCTCCATGGCATGCCTCTGAATATGTTGTTCCCTCAAAGAAAAGGTGCCTGGGCTGGCCAGTGTGGCTCTATTGGTTGGACGTCGTGCCATGCACCAAGAGGTCACAGGTTCATTCCAGGTGAGGGCACATGCTGGGGTTATGGGCTCGATCCCCAGTAGAGGGCCTGTAGGGGGCAGCAGGTAGATGTTTCTCTCTCCTTGTAGATGTTTTTATCTCTCCCTTTGCCTCCCTCCCTCTTTGAAAACAAGCAAAACATATGAAAACAAAAAGGAAGGAGAAGTTGAATGTGAAAAATGTGCTGAAATTCTTGGACTTGGTGGTGTGGTCTGTTGTGAGTTTACCAAAAAAAATCAAACAAAAAATAAAAACAAACAGGACCGTACACTGTGTGGACACACTGGGTGGTGTCCATAGATCCCTAGGACTGCAGCTGGGTGAGAGCAACGAGAGGAAGAGAGACAGCCACAAGGACACGCCGTCAGAGCTATTCCCACGTGAATCTCCAGGTTGAGAAAGAACCTCACCCATTCTCAAGAAGCGTTTAAAGATTTGAGTTTTATGTTATTGTTGGAACCTGTCCTAAGAAAAGCTGTCCAAGTCCATGTCAGGGAAGTAACTCGGGAGATGATTGTGAAATCCTTCATGCAAATTTACAGATATTGCAAAAGTCTTTAAACTCGGATATCTACCGCGTGACCTCAGTTAACTAGCTTCCCGGTACTGTCACTTAAATTCAGGGCCGCACTTGGTAACGGCTCAGGAAGCTGAGTTAAACCACACAGAGGAGCGCTGGACTATCTGCGCTAACACCCCCGGGGAGCCCCGCCATGCTGTTACTGGTCAAGGTCATTCTCACCCTGTGGGTCTCCTGGGCTCATGGACAAGGTGAGTGGAAGCAGAGCTGACCAGGCCGCGTGCTCTTACCTGCGACTTCATGTTATATCTACTTTCATGGGTCTATGTTTGTTTGTTTTTAATGAATCGTCGGTATTGGGAGATCATAACAGAGAATAATGACTTTTTTAGGAAAATACAACCAATTCTGTTGAATTTTACTCCCCGAGTTCCCAGTAAAAAGGGCTCGCAATGCCAATTACGGGAATATTTGAATGTGTTCATACACATTTGGAAATAACGGTAATTCTCACAATTGTATGTGTGGGGACTGTTTTATAGATTGCTTTGTGAAAACTCATGAATCAGTCTTTTCAAGTATGTGCTGTTTACTGTATTTCAATTATACTTTAATAAATTGGTAAAAGTAATTAGCATTGCAATCAATTTAGTATTGCTATAAGATTAGCAGCGGGTAAAAAGAAATACCCGTTTCAACAAAAAGTAAAATACATTCTTAATTTCCAATGGAATGTCAATAAATTTTATTAGATTTCTGAGTTTACTGTTAAGTGTTGAGTACATAAATTACTGTATTTCAGAGAATTATCTCTGTTGTGCACTGATGTGCATTTTTAGAATAATATATGGTCTCTATTATGTGTCAATGCAACCCAATGTATTAAACAATTGTATCTTAAAACAAATATAACTGGTAGTCTCCTTAACTTATCTTTAATTAAAAAGCAATTTTTTTGTACATTAGTTCTAATAGTATTCATTGCACTTTCGAATCTTGAAGATTTTATTTGTACAATGACATTTCCTCCTCCCTTTACCATCCCTCTGGATATTTTGTCTTCACTCTTCTATCATTTAACATCCCTTATTTTCCTAAAATCAAATTCTCTCATTCCTGAGTTCCTGTAAATGAGACCTCTGGCAGCGTGCCTTAGCATACTTCATCCTGCCACTTGCAAATCATTGCTTTTTCCTTAGTTTACAAGAGGAATTCATTTACATAACTTGCTGCATGCTGGCTTTTGTCTGTTGGGTCACTTTACATTTGGGCAATTTCCTTCCCCAGCTGCCACAATAACAACCACACAGCAAAGCTGCCTACCCAGTTTCACAATGTTCTTCCTTAAGGAACTCTTTCTAAAAGTCACCCTTGAGCCCTGGTGTGGCTCCGTTCGTTGGGCATCATCCGTGCACTGAAAGTTTGCAGGTTCAATTCCTGGTCAGGGCACATGCCCGGGTTTGGGGCTCAATGGCCCATATCAGTGTTTCTCTCTAAATATCCCTCCCCTTTTATCTTTCTCTAAAGAATCAATCAAAATTGTATATATATACTGAGTAATTGTATATATATATTGAGTAACACTCCCTCCACGTTCTGTGTGGAGTAGGGTTCGGTATCTGAAAGAGGAGCCGCACAACAAATGAGAGAAAAAGACACGAGATAATTTTGCAATATTGGGGGACCAGGCAGCCAAGTCCCGAAGGACTTCCACCGATGCTCAGGCCTCTCCAATCTTTTATTGATCTGGAGTAGCCCTTAGTATATATTTTTTTTTTTTATTTTTTTTTTTGAGTAGCTGGCCAGTTGACTGAGCAACGTCCCATGAACAGGAGGTCACAGCTTGATTCCTGCTCAGGGCACAGGCCCAGGTTGCGGGCTCGATCCCCAGTGTGGGGTGTGCAGGAGGCAGCCGATCCATGATTCTCTCTCATCACTGATGTTTCTCTCTCTCTCTCCCTCCCCTTTCTGCTCTCTAAAATCAATAGAAACATATATATATGTTTTAAAGATGGGTAGCAGTCCACTCTTTTAAACGCTCTGTAGCTGGAGTTGCACCAATGTTTGTCAGGGGAAAGGATCCCCCTTAGGGGCCAAACCTTTTGTGTGGACGCAAACACCTCTGTGTATTTAGTTGGCAGGGGTTGGATTGAAGTCCAAGCTCCCGGAACCTCAGCATGTAACTGTGTGGAGATAAGGCCTTCAAAGGAGTGATTAACTTACAGCAGGTCATTAAGGGGGTGAGGGTAATAGAGGAGACTTGTTTGTTCATCCGGGGTCCTACATTTTTTTCCTTCAGGAAGAACTTGTGATTTCCCAGAAATAAAACATGGAAACATATATGAGGAAAACAGATATAAGCCCACCTTCCCGGTTGCCGAGGGGAAATACTTCTACTACTCCTGTGATCACAGCTTCGTGTCTCCCTCCCAGTCACTCTGGACTCAGATAAACTGCACGAAGGGAGGATGGTCGCCGGCTCCGAGGTGTATCAGTGAGTAAATGCCCCCCTGACCCCCATTTCCCGATAAATTACTCGGCGGACTCAGTGAAGGGGGTGGGGAGAGGGGGCCTGCAGGAGGGATCGCAGAATCCGAACAATTACCGTGTCAGGGGTGGTGGAGCCGGCGAAGGTAAGATAGGTCACTCTTCAGAAATCAACTCGGCAAAAAATAAGATACAAACTTGATGAAATATCTACATTTTTTTTCGTTTCAAATACCAGTGCTCAGCCATTTCAACTGCTAATATTTAATTTCAAAGCGTTCACTTGGTCATTGTAGGAACACAGGTATTTCTCGGGAGAGTTCATTTGTGACAGGTAACCTCTGTCCACCATATGCTGTCCCTTCGGATACTCAAGGAGCCTTTTTACGAGTTTCCTTCCTTCGTGTGATTTTCTTAGTCACATGCTTGTGACTCACACCTGTCTTCCTCCCTCAATGAGGGCAGAGACACGAGGATAACAACTAGGAGAGAGAAAAGGGGTGGAGGCGAGCCCAGGAGATGGAAGCCTAGGATGCAATTGCGTCAATGGAATAAGAAAAACCGGTCACTTTTCTGATACCTAAGAGAACGTGACAAACGTCAAAATGTGCTTTACATAGAAGTCATGATTGACGGGTAGCACACACTCATGTTCATTGGCACGAACTGATTTTAAGGAAGTGCTTTTTGCACTTCATTTCTGTCCTGATGCAGGATTCATCTTAGTCATCCTTGGCTTGCAGGGCAGTGCTTCTTCCCGTGGGTGGAAAATGGGCATTCCGCGTCTTCAGGGCGAACGCACCAGGAGGGGGACACGGTACAGATCGTCTGTGACCAGGGCTACAGCCTCGCCAATGACCAGGACGTCATCACGTGTGCTGAACACGGCTGGTCCACGCCCCCTACATGCAGCCGCATCAGTAAGTAGAACGCTGTCCTCTGGGATTCTGTCTCCGTCTTCATTTCATAAAGAAATAGCTGTGGCCCTGGCTGGCATGGCGCAGTGGATAGAGCACCAGCCTGCGGACTGAAGGGTCCTGGGTTCGATTCTGGTCAAGGGCACATGCCTGGGTTGTGGGCTCGATCCCTAATAGGGGGTGTTCAGGAGGCAGCCAATCAATGATTCTCTCTCATCATTCATGTTTCTCTCTCTCTTCCTCTCCCTCTCTGAAATCAATACAGAAATATACTTAAAAAAAGAAATAGCTGTAGCCCTGGCTGGTGTGGCTCAGTTGATTGAGTGAAATCCCTTGTACCTAGAGATCACTGGTTCGAATCCGGTCAAGGCACATGCTGGGGTTGTGGGCTTGATCCCCAGTAGGAGGCATGATGAGGCAGCCGATCGATGTTTATCTCTCTCTCTCACCCCTTTCCTCTCTATCTAAAAATTAATTTAAAAAAATTTTTGGAACTTAACATATAGAAGCTTAACTCTTAGCAAAAAATATTGCTTTATCTTTTTTTAATCTTGCATGTAAATTTGTGAAGATTTTCACTCTCAATTGCATCTAAATGATCGATGCATTAGAGATCCGTGTTTTTTCTCTTTATTCAGATCTCTCCTGTGGCAGCCCTCCCACAGTGCAAAATGCCTTCATACTAAACCAGAAGCATAGGTATCGTAATGGGGACACAGCACGTTATGAATGCAGGCACTCTTTGGTCCTCCTCGGGAATCCAGTGGTGACATGTCTAAGTGGGAAGTGGACAGACCCACCTGAGTGCAAGGGTAGGTGTCTCATTCTCCCCTCCCAGTCTCTGTGCAGCTTTTGTAAGCACTTGGTTACTAGACTCCTGTTCAGCTGGCCTTCATTGGTTACTCAGGTTGATTGTTCTATCTTTTACGTTTACAACAGAACTTGAGTGGACTATCACCCCCTCTGTTGACAAGCAAATAATCATGTCTGAGGGTATAAAGTCTGAGAGATTCTTGAGCAACAACAGCAAGAAACTATCATTTTTCTTTATTTTAATTTATTTTCCCCATCACCACTTATGCCCCCTCCATCCTCATCCACCTCCACCACCCCTTCAAGGATTCTTCAATGAAAGCCCTTCTATAGCATAGTTGACATTGTAAATGTTGATTATAACATGCCATGACCACACACTCCACAAAGTGCCTCATTTTTAAGTCATCAATAGTTTAAAATGAGTTATACCAACATGATGGGTTTTCAATGAATTGGTTTGGAAAAAGAATTTGAGAATAAATTCCTAGATCTGTGTAGAAGATGCTGCATGAAACTGTAAAATTCTGTGGGAAATACTCGTATAATACTTAGTTTTATTTCTTTTTTTTTTACTTTCAGATGCCTGTATAATATCAGAAGAAATCATGGAAGCACATAACATAGAGTTGAGATACTCATATGCGAAAAAGGTTTATTCCAGAACAAATGATTTTGTTGAATTTAGGTGTCGTCGAGGTTACTATCGTAGAGTGTCACCAGACTCTGCATTCCGAGTACAATGTCATGAAGGGAAAATGGAGTATCCCACTTGTGCATAACATGAGAGCTGTGTGGCCGTTTTCACATTAAAATATGCGCCTTCATTCAGAATTTTTAAATATTAATCCAGTTCATCTCAATTTATTTTTCTGTAACTCGCTTTTATTCACTAATCAGAATTTGCATTAAATGCCATGTGGGAGATGTCATTGTAACCTGAGAGACCCATGGACCACTTCTCTTAAGCATCTCATTAAATTATGACAAACCAACATGCTGTGTGTTCTGTTCTTGAAACGTCTCTGCCCAGAAATCACCTCAGTGCTTGCCTCTCTCCCTCATTGATGTTTCTCTCTCTCTCTAAAATCAATAAAACATGAAAAAAAAGTTGAATATCAAGAATGTGCTGAAATTCTTGGACTTGGTGGTGTGGTCTGTTGTGAATTTACCAAAAAATATCAGTGCTGTCCTACAGACAGGACCCTACACTGTGTGACACACTGGGTGGTGTCCATAGACCCCTAAGGACTGCAGTCGGGTGAGAGCAAAGAGAGGAGGAGAGAACGTCACAGGGACACGCAGGCAGAGCTATTCCCACGTGAATCTCCTGGTTGAGAAAGAACCTCACTCATCTTCAAGAAGTTGAAAGATTCGAGTTTTATATCACTTTTGCAGCCAGTCTTACTGTTACTGCCCCTAAGGAAAGCTGTACAAGCACATGTCCGGGAATGAAGTCAACAAAAGATTGTGAAATCATTCATGTAAGTACACAGACATTGCAAAAGTCTTTAAACTTGGATATCTACCGAGTGACCTCAGCTAACTAGCTTCCCGGTACTGTCACTTAAATTCAGGGCCGCACTTGGTAACGGCTCAGGAAGCTGAGTTAAACCACACAGAGGAGCGCTGGACTATCTGCGCTAACACCCCCGGGGAGCCCGCCATGCTGTTACTGGTCACGGTCATCCTCACCCTGTGGGTCTCCTGGGCTCGTGGACAAGGTGAGTGGAAGCTGATGGGAATATTAACTCCTTCTTAAGTAGGACTTTGCTCATTTTCATTTTCTCTACTTTTTTTTTTTTAACCCTCACCCGAGGATATTTTTCCCATTGATTTTTAGAGAAAGAGTGAATATGAGGGAGAAAGGGGGGTGGGGGGTAGGAGAGGGAGAGAGAGAGAGAGAGAGAGAGCAAGAGAGAGAGAGAGAAACATCAATGTAAGAGAAACATACAGATTGGTTGCCTCTCACACTCACCCCAACCAGGGCCAGGGATGGAACCTGCAAACAAAGTCTGTGCCCTTGACCGGGAATTAAACCAGGGACCCTTGGTCTGAGGGCCAACATTCTAACCACTGAGCAACCCGGCCAGGGCTGTCTGTAATTTATGAATGAATTGACCAGTACACAGTTTCTGTGTTTTAAGGTCACAATAAATAATACCTTGATGGATCCCAGCCCACATGGCTCAGTGACTGAGCGTTGACCTATGAACCAGAAGGTCATCTTTCAATTCCCGGTCAGGGCACATGCCTGGGTTATGATCTGGATCCCGTATAGGGGGCCTAGCAATGATTCTCTCTCATCAGTGATGTGTCTCTCTCTCCATCTCCCTTCCTCTCTGAAATCAATAAAAATGTATTTTTTAAAGTATATATTGATGAGACAATTATCTGCATAATCCACGTGTCCCTTTTCTTCTCAGAAATAACATGTGACCCCCCAATAATTCCAAACGGTGACTTTGCTCCTAAAATGGACCAGTACGGGCTGGATGATGTCATCACATACCGGTGTGGAAATGGCTTCTATCCTCCCCTTATCGGAAATAAGACAGAGTGCACTGTTCTAGGCTGGCTACCTCATCCTAGATGTGTCCGTAAGTCCAATCAGGTCCTAACCTGCTTCTTCGTTATAAATTCCTTCCCTTAAACACCAAGAAATGGGGCCCTGAGAAGCCCAGTCATTGCCTCGCTGAGAAGGGACAGCAGAGGACTGAGGGGTGCTCTTTGCTTTTCAAAGTCACCAATTCTAAGTAGGACAACGTCCCATCAGGGTAAGTGAGAAACACTTTTCAATTTTGCTTCAATGTTAAGTGTGTGTGTGTGTGTGTGTGTGTGTGTGTGTGTGTGT